TGGCGGGGCCGCGGGGAGGAGAGCCCGAGCCCGCTCTGCTGGAGCGGGGCAAGGGGAGGCTGGGCGAGCTGGGCTGGCAGCCGCGGTGACAGCCCCGGCGCCTTCTGCCACCTGCCAGCCCGCTCACACCCGAGGCTTACGCGTCCTCTTTCCCTACTCCTCCTTCCAGGTCTTTCTTGCCTATGTTTGATCTTTCACCTTTTTTTCTGGCCCATGGATTTTTCTAGGACCGTCTTTCGGAGCCTCTGTAAAAGCGGATGTTCGTGAAGCACGGCGAAGCTCCGAGCACCATGCTCCTGTGCTCTTACCCACCACTGCTTTTCTCCCCACTTGGCATTTACTCTCTTAACTTTGTTCTCCTGCTGCTGCAGTAGCTAACTCCTGAAATATTTCCTGTTGGTAGCCGGTATTAATTGCTCTTTCCTCTGCCCTATCTAAACTGTGCCAGTTTTTCACATGAGAAGATGTGTCAAGAAATGCTTAGGGTGTATAAGAAGTGCTTGGATCATGTAAATACAGTTTAAAGGACTGAAAATAGTGATTTAGTCTAAGGCTAATAGCATTGGAATAACATGTAGCCTTAAAATAATTTTGGGATGTTAAAGTCACTGTGAATAATTAAAGACATATTTTTAAAAAGCAGTATGCTTAATTAAATTCTTCTCCTCTTCCTTGCCCCACAGTCTAAGAGAAGAACTCTGATTATGTCATGCATTTCTTAGATTTTCTCAAGGCATGGTTGGTATCATAAAACCAATGACATAACAAGTTCATTGCCCTAGTGGAGCTGCATCAAAACAAAATAATATAAAGCCCAAGAGATAAGAGATTAAACCTAATAATGAAATCATAGCATAAAACAGGTGTGGGGATTTTTATTATTATTTTCCTGTTTGCTTTGACAGCAAAGTCACTTTAAAGCTCTGCACTGGGCTTGAGGTTTGAGGAGGAAGGTAAGAAATGGCACATCCTTCTCTCTTTCTATATGCTTCAGTGGTGCCAGTGACTTTCTTCTGTCCTCACTTGTTTGTTACATGTTTTCTTGAGAGGAGACAGTTTCAATATTTGACACATCTGGGTCTTGGTGTTTTGCCCTGTTACCATAATCTCCTTTTCAACACTTCTTTCTCGCTGTAAGCACCATGTGGCTGGGACATTCTAGGGAGTCCTTGCAGATTCCTAGGATTCAGTCTGGCTAGTTCCTGAGTCTGTACTGGGATGTCTTATTAAGAAAATCTGCTTATTAGGCAGCTGACACATTATTACCGCACCCTTTCATTCCACATTCCAGTCTTTTAGAAGAAACCCAAAGGGTATTTTCCATATGTTTCTGGACTGGTTCCAACATGGTTTTTTTCCTCTCCTCAGAGTGAAATTATTACTTTCAGAGGATACCCTAGTGAGGAATATGAAGTGACAACAGAAGATGGATATATTCTTTCCATTAACAGAATACCTTATGGAAGAAAAGGCCGTGAAGGAAGTGAAGGTAAGATTTATGTCTATTTTGAAAAAAAAAAGAATGGAAGTGAAAAAGCTGTCTTTGATTTATGAAACTTTTGTTCCTCTAATAATCCAGAAGAAGATTAAGGACTACTGTGGTTTAAGACCATGGAGGAGATGCAGGGTGTGTACAGGTGAGGAGCTGGGGGACAGAGAGAATAATGGTAATGTAAGCTCAAACTTACAAGGGGACAATATGGGCAAAGGCTTTTGTGAGGACTGAATGATAGGATGCTTTAAAAATGAGACAGATGTGGAAGAAGAGAGACACATAACTTTTGAATTTCTATCCTTGTACACTGCATATTAACAGAATTAAGTGTGTCTGTGCAGTGGCTGAATTTGTTATCAGTCTTGCCACCATCCCTTATAAAAGTGCCTACAGACATTCATATAACAGCAGCCCATTTGCATAGAATTAGGTATTCTAAGGATTGCCTCAGAATATGTTGGACTAAAAAAATCCTAGGATTACAGATAAAAATATGAAGCTCACAAAAGAAATCTATGATTGTCCTATAGCCTTGGGTGTGAACGAGACCTGTGGAAAAACCCTCTCCCCTGTCAAAGGCCAAGCAACAGCCTTCCTGAGCTTATCAGTTGGTTTTGTATGAGTTAGGATGTTTGCACTGTCTGTTTTCTTTCACAAGGAGTGTGTAAAGATCAGTGCATGGATGAGCCCTATCAAAACTGGCAGGTGTCTTTGTATTTAATTCCCGAGAAGCCCGCAGGAAAAAGGCTGCCTTTGTACTTACTGATTTTGTTGAATCCTTCACTAATGACATAAGTAAACAGAAGTTTCCTGACTTCTGGGAATTCTCCACATACCCCTTGACACACCCTCGACCCCAAGTTCATGTTTTGCAGAGTGCTTTAATTTGAAAAAAACAAGGATTACTGACCACATTTGTGGAAGTATGAGCTCCTGGGAGAATGAAGATTTCAAAGTTCATGTTGATCTTAAGTTTTTATAGACTTGGTATCTTTTCTCAGAAAGATACCAATGATGTGTTACTGCTGACTTAGCATATATATGCCGTATTTTTCTTTTGCAATACCTGTGTGATGTGAATAGGATTCCTAGGAATTATGTATCACATGATGTTTTGGAACAAAACCCAGAATTCTTCAGAAAAAAAAAAGGGGGGGGTGTGAAATTTATGGAGAGCCTAAAAGCAAAACATCAAGGATTTTTTGTTTTACTAGTAAAAAAACCCTAAAACAACTGCATAGCATGGTAAAAAGGGTGTGGAAGTAAATCTGTCTTTGTCTTCTTGGGTCTGTAGTAAAGAGAACAAAATGTTCTATATTGAAAGGGTAGTTTAAGGACCCACCTTTTTTATTCCCCCTCTGGGTTTTTTAGGATTATAGGTGGTAGAAAGTCATTATTATTATTCAAGTCATTTTGTCACATGATTATGCAATTCACATGGAGATCTGGTGACTGCTTGGTAAAGTGAAAAAGGAACTGCCAAAAGTTGGAGGTTAATAAGAGAACAGAATTAAAGCATTAAGGCAGTTGAACAGTTTTCCCCTTCCAAAGTTACAAAACAAGCAATAGCAGCTTGAGGAGAACCTGTTCTTCAAAAATTCTTGAAGTTGGTTGATCTGAGCGTAGTAAAAGGGAAGAAGCTTCAATGGTAAGTGGAACATTACTGGAAACAAATTTAGTGTGAGGCCTGACAATCCTGTTTATAAGACAATAAAGTGTTAGTGCAGCAGAGTAAAGACTTCTGTTGAACTGTACTGTCCCCAGTGCCAGGTGGGCACTGCTGGACACTTGCTCTGCTTGCCTGGACAGTATGCCATGTGGGATTTTAACAAAGTGGGAAAAGCAGACACTCAAAAGGTTCCTTGCCACATATATAAAGATTTCCAGAGAAGAGGAGTATTGCTTGGAATTTGAAACTTGCAGCAAACATTTATGGACATGACCTGTGATGAATGATATAGGTGACTGAAAGTTGTGATTTAATCTGTTTCTGCTGAAAGATCCAAGTCTAAATTATCAATGGAGGAAGTACTGTGTGAGTCTGTATCGCAGCAGAGTGATGTGTCACTGGAGGAGGTAAATCCCTGAGTAATCTCTGGCATTGAGCTAGTTACCATGTTACCTGTTTCCAGTTTTCAGAGCAGAAGTAATAGCCAAAACACTTGTGCTACTGTGAGAACCACACAGGTCTTTGTAGTTTCTGAAGGCCTTGTTTCTCCTGAGTGACTAGATGTTAATTGATTTTCTTTTTGTAGAAGCAGGAACCTTCAAATTTTAAATCTGTGTTTCACATAAAGGTGCCATTTCCCTTTTCATGACAAGAAGTCAAGACAGTCTTCTTAAATTCTACCTGGGTCTTAGCTGTGATTCTTATAACTACCCAATTTAAGGGGAGAAAGTCCTTTGAAAGAGATTCCTTTGTTGGCCACTGAACTGCTCTTCAGATTCTGCCAGAGCTTTGGTGATGGAAGGGTGTTGCACAGAGATACTATCAGTACCAGCTGCAGAGATTTCCACAGCTCAGCACAGTAGTTTGGCATTGCTTTGACTGGAAAACAAAGTTCTCAGAAGCACACATGTGGAGATGCCTTCCTCAGGTTTGGGGGCAGGGCAAAGTTCATAAGTATTAAAACTGCTTCTATGTTTGGGCCACTATTCTGCATCTGTGAGCTTGAAACAGCTGTAAGGGCTACCTATATTCTTCTTGTAGCTCCTGCTTTTCTCACTTTTATTTATTGCACACTTGTCTGTTTTGAGCTTCAAGTTATGAAACTAAGAAGTTTAAAATTCTTAATGATAAAAAGTGGCTTTTGGTGAAAAAGCATGTGATTTCATGGCACTATGACCATTATAAAAATTGCTAGTCTTAGTAGGTAAATCAAGTAGATTAAATACTCAAGTGCAAATCTAAAACAGATTTTCAATAGCTCACTAGAATTATTCTTAGGTGTGCAATGCCAAATGAACAGGAATCTATAATAAACACATTCTTTTTCAGGTCCAAGGCCTGCTGTGTTTCTGCAGCATGGTTTGCTTGCAGATGCCAGCAACTGGATCACAAACTTGGATTACAACAGCCTTGGCTTTATGCTGGCAGATGCTGGCTATGATGTATGGCTGGGAAACAGCAGAGGGAACACCTGGTCCAGGAAACACACACACTTTACAGTGAAGCAGGAAGAATTCTGGATTTTCAGGTATCCTTGTTTTGCTATCCACTCACATTGTGAAGTGGCTGGATATTTTTATCTGGTTACATGTGTTGCACAGGTGTAGGGACAGTAAAGGGGAATTTTGAGGTTGGTATAGTGTGCTGAAACTCATAGGTGCTCAGTAGAAAACTGAAAACTCAATCATCAGAGTTCTGTTTTATCCAAAAGAAGCTTTTCTTTATGTCCACACTGATCGGTGCAGGAAAGCTCTGTGTGGCTGTTCCTCACTGATTTATTAAACAACTGACTTTCTGTCTTTGCTTTGTAGCTTTGATGAAATGGCTAAGTATGACATTCCAGCCTCAGTGGACTTTATTTTGAAGAAAACTGGCCAGGAACAAGTATTTTACGTTGGTCATTCACAGGGCACCACAATGGGTATGTGGAGAGATACATTTATTAGAATATATTGTGTTTGAAATGATATCAAGTTCCACATATTTGATTTAGTGATTAAAAATTAGGGCTCTTAAAAACTACTGCTTTTGGTTTTTAATGGCTTTCTGGAATATTTGTCAGCATTAAAATGGAAAGACTTAATCTTTCTGTGTTTATTTAAAAGTGGTAAGCTGTTGGAATGATAAAGTGAAGTCACAGGTAGCTGGCAGTACAGCTCCTATTAAAAAAATTGATGAATTATACATAATAAAATTAGACACATCAGACAGAGAATAAAGATTCCCATTTCCAGAATATTTTGCTGCATGTAAGGCCTGGCTCATGTGCTTTAGACCTTCTAGTAAAAAGAGATAAGCATGTTAGGTTAGTAAGCATTAAATTGCTTTCTGGAGGAAAGCAAGTCTTTTGAATTACTGTATTTAATTTGGGAATTGTAGTAACTAGGTTAATTTACATTATTTAACCTAATCCTATGTAGTGCAGTCAAACTATCAATCTACAAATACTTTTGCACACTTTCTCATAGATTTTTGTAGAATTTCTGCCAGGTAAAATTCTTACCTAACTTGTGTCAGTGATGTTTGTTAATTGTTCTTATATTATTTACAGCTTTTGTTGCTTTTTCAACTTTGCCACAGCTGGCTAAGAAAATCAAAATGTTCTTTGCCTTGGCACCAGTAGCTACAGTCAAGTTTGCCACTAGCCCTCTGGTAAAATTGGGATTGTTTCCTGACATGCTGCTCAAGGTTTGTATTTGAGTGTAAATGTTTCAAGCCAATTGAGGTATGCCCCTTTCTATCTGAAAATAGCATAGCAAAGAATGTTAATAGCTGTGGATTAGAGAGTAACATATGACAAGGATTCTGGGTCAGTTTTACCATAATGATGCTATTGAAGTCAACAGTGTCTTCTGTAGCTTTATTACTGTCTAGTGAGACAATTTGCATCACTTTAAAGTGGTATTTTACAATTACAGCTTAATAGATGGAATGAAGTTGCTTTTCCATTTACATATTTCTAGAATTTAAGCTAGGGAAGTCATATGATTGACTTAGTCACTGTGTTTTAGAAGAGTTGTATGATATCTTTATACAGAATACATGAATTGTCATGAACTTTAACCGATTTGTTTCACAACCAGCCATTTAGTATTGGAAGAGGATCCTTCAGAAGGTGACTAAGAGCAACAGCTTTAGAGGCTGTGAATCATCTTCTGGAGGAGTTTACCTCTTCCATATTAACATCAAGGGGAATGAGGCAGGGCTGCAGTAAGTGCCTGAAGTCAAACATTATGAAACACCCTGCTGTGTGTCATTTTTAACCATCACTTTCTTTCTACCACCCATGGAGATTCCCACACAGAGCTGTTTGTTCTGTGACATAAACCTCCTTCTGATCCAGCTTAAAATTGATTTAAAGTCTGTCTGTAGTACTAGTTCCTTGCTCTAAAGGCAGTTAACATAAAAGCAATGCTAATCTTTGTGATCTCCTATTCCTTGCATAATGAACTTTGTCTAATGAGACTAGCAGCTGATCAGTGCCTTGTGCAGATGTTCATGTTGTGCTGAGGAGCTTGATTCTCATGGTGACTTGCAAAAAACTGGAGTGAAGGGAGAACCTGACCGTGACAAACCCGTGGATCAGTCATGTCTTTAAAGAGCTGTGTCACTTTTAAGGAAGTTTTCAGTGGGACATTTTAAAATCCTTGAACATTTTAAAAATACCCATCAAGAGGAAGTGGTCACTACATCACATACAACTTGTTTTTCTCTCATGGTTTGAAGAGAGGAAGTTGCAAATACAAAGCCATTTAAAATTAGCAGGCAGACCTTTAACATACTTTAGCCTTAAACAATCTGATGACAAAAAGCTCTACAGTATAACTGTAAATTTTTGAATTTGAAGTTTATTTGAATTTGAGGTTAGGTTTGAAATTCTTGGAAGATTTTCCCAGTTCCCATGTACTTTTTGTGGGGTTGATGGACTGCACCATTTGTATTAGAAGCACTAACCATGCCAATGCTGATAAGGAAATCAATGATTTTCATATGACACAGCTGTCACCAGTGCAAATGCAAATAATTACTTCAAGAGTGCTGTTGTATAAACACTGAAAATAGGTCATTCTGTGCAATTACATGTTTCTTCTGTGTGTTTGTTTATTTTCTAGGACATGTTTGGAAAGAAACAATTCCTCCCTCAGAATTCCTTGCTGAAGTGGCTTGCTACCCATGTTTGTACCCACAGAATACTTGATGACCTTTGTGGCAACTTATTCTTTCTTCTATGCGGTTTTAATGAGAGAAACTTGAATATGGTGTGTTCTAGTGACTTTCTTTAATAGCTAAGTTATTGTGAACTCTAACACAGTATAGACTAAATATATTAAAAATGCTTAAGGGATACCATTATTAGGTTTAAAATTCAGCTTGAGAGTTCTGTTGTTCAATGTAATTAATCCCCCAAATGTTCTAACTTCTTATCTCATCTGTATGTATGGCTCCAGTTAATTTCTGTTTATAACAGTTTTAAGTGGAATGGAATAGTTTGTTAGTTGTTCAGGAAGCAACAATGGGTAGAACTGATGCACTATGAGGAGGAATAAACCATGTTAATGATCTTGTTGCAGAGCCGAGTGGATGTGTATTCAACACACTGCCCTGCGGGAACATCTGTACAAAACATGATCCACTGGAGCCAGGTAAGGTTTCCAGAATCTAAAGTGCCCATGACTCTAGTTGTTTATAGAATATTGATGTGTCTGATACTTACATGAAATAAAATGCCAAAATATATGTGCAGCCTAGTCCAAGTGGAATTTGGTACTGCCAGAAGTTAGAATGGCAGTGGCTCACTGCAGCTGCTTTCATGATAAGAATTTATGGTGGTTCATCTGTCTTCTGTATTTCTTTGAAAATACAACTGGAAGTTATATAACAGGAAGTACCTCAACCAAGGAAAAAAGTACAGCAGAATAACTTACCTCAGAGAGATGCTGTAATGAGTATTTGTTTCCCTTCCAGCAAACCCTGGTTTGATTACAAGTTACATTTTTAGCCAGTGAAAAGCAGCAGATATTCTGTTCTATTCTGTTTTGCTTCATTTTATATTTTATTAGTATATTTTGGTGTTCATCTCAATGCACAGTTTCATGCCTGTGATGCTGTTGTGCCTGAAACTTGGTCAGCAGCCTGACAAATGAGACATTTGCCATGGAATCAGTGATCAATGCTACTTGTGATTTCATAGCTGGATTTGGTCACCTAATCAGAGGCAATGTGTTCTACTGTACACAGCTGTTCAAGGGTTGGCTCAGAAAGAAACTTGTGAAGGTTTGTTTTTTTTTTTTCCAGATCCCTGTTATATAAACTTCTGTTTCTGAAAAAGTAGTAGATGGTAAATTTTGCAGAGTAGGCTTGCTAAGAGATCTCCCTGCATTATTCATACACCTTTAGACTTCAAGGTAAATATTTCAGAAGTAAACATGGAGCTGCCATATCCTGGCTTTGGATACACTAAGCTGTTTTCCTTAATCTTTTCTACCATTGCTAAGAGGGAATCTGAATTCTTAAAGGACAAAGTCTAATGGTATTGGATGTTAATGTTTTCTGTTCCTGTGACACTGGGCAAAGCAGTGATACTTGTTAATATTTGCCATTCCACTGTTTCTTGTGTAGGTTGCCATTGCCAGTTCTCCAGATGACTACACTTTTTAGTTGTTGTGGTAGTAGTGTTGCAGTTCTTTGTATATGCATTTTTTTATCTCTAGGCTGTGAGGACTGGGGAACTCAAAGCTTACGACTGGGGAAGCAAAGCTGCAAATATGGCTCACTATAACCAGGTAAACATCTTTTACATCTATAATTCTGGAGTGTCACAGAAAATAGTCCTTGGGCACTTCTCAGGGTGCTGTATTTATGCTGCATGCCAATGAGGTGTTAGTCTTATCCAATAACCAGACTGGAGATCTGCTTTTTCCAAAATAACTAAAAAAGAAACCAGCTGGGATGTAGAGCTCAGAGGTAGTTCTAAGTCAGTGTGGGGCTCACATTTGGATATGAAGCTGTGGTGGCACATGCTTTCTTGAGGGGAAGTTCTGCCAGCATAGATCATGAGATCCCCCTTCACTTCTCATCATAAGGCACAGACTTGACAGCTCATGTGTATTGTTTATCTTTTAGTCTACTTAGTCTCCATGTATTTTTGTTTCTAAATTGCTGCCTACAATGCCAAAAATACTTTGCCCCTTGTCTCTTAGTGACTGCAGAATACTTCAGTATTATATTTTTGGAGAAGCAGTCACTTTTAGCCTTAGATTAGAGCTGAAATACCTTGAATGAGATGAATTTTCTGAGATTCTGCTACCCTGTGGTCTTTGTAAACTCCTCAAACCACATCTTTACTGCTTCACATGCTATAATATTGCAGGACTCTTGCAGTTACATTTTTGGTTTAGCCAGGACTCCATCTCTAGCTGCCCAAGAGAGAAAATGAGTATCTGACACATTCTTGCAGCTGCTAATATGTTCCACTGGCAGTGTAGGATCATAACTGAATTTTTTTTTTTTCCCCCTAATGCTTTGTTTTCACTTTCTGTCTCCTCAGTCTACTCCCCCTTTCTACAAAATAAAAGAGATGACTGTACCAACTGCAGTGTGGACTGGTGGACAGGACTGGCTGGCAGACCCAAAGGATGTTGCTATGCTGCTTACTCAGATCACCAATTTGGTTTACCACAAAAACATTCCAGAGTGGGAACATTTGGATTTCATTTGGGGCCTGGATGCACCTTACCGCATGTATAATGAAATAATTAACATGATTAGGAAGTTATCTCTAAACTGACATGGTATTTCAGAGTATTGGTTCACCAGGAATTTGTCAGTTTTTGGAAATTATGCTTTTCTGGCAATAATGCTACATTGCTTAGGATGATGCATTTTTAAAATGCCAGCAATGACTACTGAGTTGGATTCATATTTGGTTGTTTTTTCTCAGTATTATTTCTCTCTCTTCACAGTATTTTGCCGATTTTGCACACAGTGGCATGGTACTCAAAACATGGCAGTAGGACTTGGCACAAAAGGAGTATGTCGTGCACATAAATTTAGTCACCTGTCTGAAAGACAAATTAGACACGTTAGTCCATTCAGCACCTCAGGTGCTTGACACTTAAAACAAGTATTTCACTGTGCATAAAACACAGCCATTTCTCAGTATGTGGCCATTTCTAAGTACCTTTGAGAAGTACTTCTTTTACTGCAGTGACCTATTTGGTGCTGGCACTTTACAAAGCACTTAGTAACTTTTTGCTGTGGTATTATTTTAGCCATCAGACAAAATAAGATTACTTCCCTTTTCAATATTTCCCAGAAGAACTGTAGTAAAGCCAAAGAAACCACTGTCAGTTAAAATCTCTGATTTTGGGACTGATTCATTGCTGCATTTTCTTGCTTTGATGGTGTCCTTGAAGCCTTTAGTGTTTCACGTACTATCTGTGGATAGAGGTCGCAATTCTGCCGATGTTCAAACAAAACCACTTTCAGTTAACTTTGTCAATAGGTTATGGCTTTCAAGGAGAGTGATGTAACATACTTGTGTTTTGCACTGACCACTAACACTAGAAAACAAGCTCCCCCTGTCTACTGCTGGTGAGAGAAGAGCCAAAGCATTAATTCCACAGCTTGAGTGACTTCATTTCTGTGGACTTTTCCCCTTAATCATCTGCTGCATTGAAGATCTGTTTACTTCTTAACCACTTATAGAGTGCTCCCCACCACTGTGTTCAGGAACTGAATAACAGCCTGGAGAAGCCTGACAATATTACTGCATCTGGATTTATCTCAGTTTCTACTTCAAACTGGGGCTAAGACCCCATTTAATGGGGAAGAGGATTCACATCTGCCTCAGGGGTCTGACTTTGGAGCTTTTTCCACTGACTATGCAGAGGACTTTGGTTTCTCTGAGATGCATAGAAGTTCCGTGCCAAATGAACAACCCCAGAGTCAGTTGCCTCAGTCCAGAGGGCGATTTCTGTGCCATAGTTGGATTCAACCCAGATTTCTTCAGTAAACCTAACAGGATAAAGAACCTTTCTATATGTCATAGGAAATAATGCATTTTTAATTGAGGCAAACTTGTTTTGTAAAAAAATTAAAAGAAATAAAAAAAAAAAATAAATTGCAGAAATAGACACAGGTTGTAAATTAGGACTTGTTTCTTTGGGTGTTTTTGTTTGTCTGTTTGGGTTTTTTTTTTAATCCTAATTCAAACTCAGGGAATTCTCAGGTGTTGTTTAGGGACAAAGTGGTTCATTGGTTCATGAGGCTTCAGTTGTGATTCCTACCAGGACCTTTAAGTCTGCTTTAGATTTGTATCAACCAGATGTGCTTTGCTTTGCTGTGCTGAAAGGAAGCCTCTGTAGGAACCCAAGGTGGCTAATTCAGCAGTTGTGAGGGTATGTGGTATGGCAAAAGCATCATGTTTATTAAGCTTGAGCTATTTCAATAAACATGAGACCTGCTTGGAGTTTGGAATGGTGTGGTGTTTCACTTCCTGTTTCATGAATGCATGGGAATTTTTGGGACAGAATTCAGAAAGCAAATTTTTCACAACTATTAATCCATAGAACAAATACAGAAAAAAAGTAAAATAGCTAAGTAAACTTCCATTTTACTTTTTTCCTGAAAGAAGCTTTTCCCAAGCTTAAAAAGCCATTCTTATTTAGGTGGACTTCTCTTGCCTTTAAGTACCTCTTGTACCTTTTAAGTAAGGTACAAATTGCAAATAATTACTCACAAGACAGATCCATTTTCTAAGCCTTCAGGTGAGTCTTTTAAACCACTGACGTGGTGGAAAGCTTCTTGTTTCATGTTCTTAAACCTTGGGTAATTTGATTGCTTAACAGACTGGCTGGTAATCTCATAAATGGCATTTAATCATGTAGTAAGGCAGGGAGCTAATCTTTGCCACAGTACACATGAGGCAGCTTCTGACCTTTGTCGCCTTCAATAATGAATGTGCTCAGGCTATACCTTTCTTACATCCTTAATACTGTAGTTGTTCAGTTGAGCCAGTAGAGTGTATTAAATCCTATATGTTGCCACCTTTGTCAGCTGATAAATACCCTGTGTGTCTGAAAATAAAGCCAGAATACTGGAAGCTTTACACAAAAGCCATTATAGAGCTTCACTGGAGTAGGACTAGGTATGAAAATTGAAAAATATATGGATATTGAAAAAATATGAAAAAGCTGCTTTAGTTCTCCCTGAGTCACTTAAGTTGCAGGTTCTGTGTGACAGAAACTTGGAGATGTGTCAGTGGAAAGAATTGTGCAAAATAAAACATGCTGAACATAGAGGAGACAAGTGAGAAGCTTGGTCTATTTAGAATGACCTGTGATGAATTAAGAGTTCAGTGATGAATAGTACATTTTTCTAAGCAGATCTTAAATACCGGGTGCCTGTTCTACAAACCTCTGTGTTACAGGTGTGCATGCATGTGCTGTTGAAGGCTGGCTGAACAGCAGCTTTGGACAGTGTAAAAGTGTACTGGCTTAACAGAGGGCATGGGATGCTTTCTGCTGGCTTGGTCTCAGCATTTAGTGACTGCTAGAAAGCCAGAAGAAAGTAGTCCCTGTTCAGCTGAGGGATCGTCAGACTCACAGAGCTGAAGAGAATGCACGGTCCAGGGCTTTGACTGAGAGATGCACAACAATCCGACATACGAGGGGTAACACAGACAAAGACCTGGTTTTGTCCTCATGTTGTGCTTGGAATTTGACAAGGATTTTTTTGTAGTCATCTGCAAGTATGTTTTGTGTTCATTTCATGCAGAAGGCCTAAGGCTGGTGGAGTGTGTGTTTGTTAGTGAATGATGCACTGGCTCCACGCAGAGCGTTTTTATCCTGGTTAGTGATTCCATGGCTAGTGATAAAGGTTTATACATCAACTCAAGCAGTATAGAAGTGCCTCAGCATAGGACAAGATGGTAAAACAGACCTCCTACTCTACTTGGGCCCTGTAGGAGAAACAGTTTTGTCAGCTTGGGAACAAAATTTTTATATAAATTATTTATACTGAATGTGCCATCCAAAACACAAACAAAAAAACTCCAAAGCCCCCCAAAACAAATGAAAACCCTCCAAATGAAACAGAAGTGCCTTAATATCATAAAAATCTATGAATGGCTTTACTCTGTAAGATGTGATAGAGAAAGCTTGATGGCTGGATAGGTTTTTGGATGTCTAATAAAATGGCTCTTGGTGGAAGATTTTCTGGTAATGAAAGTGTTTATAATGTCTTCTCCCTTTCTCGTCTCATAAAACACAAACTCATGCTGCAGCATTGCCCATCAGGAGCTTGCCTTTCTTCCTGGCAGCCTATTTTAATAAAACTTTATATGACCAAAATAATTGAAATCATCAATGAAATAAAAAATTACGAAGGTTGGATGGACACTAGCCACACCTGTAACATGATTACCTAATTCTTAGTTTCTGAGTGGAAGTGTCTGCTTTGTGTTCTGACTCTTTCAGAAATTAAGTCTATAAGTTGCTGAGAATGTAAATCAATTTTTCATTCCTGAGTTATGAATTCTGAATGAAAGAATTTTAGGATATTCTTCTGATAGTTATTATTTTGAAAACTGATCCTGTTAAGGTAAAGTGTGAGAATTAGGAATTTACTTCACTGGCAGTTTTCCATTGTCAGCTTGAAACTAATTAAAGTGTCCTTTGATTATGCCTTTTACTGGCTTGACAGGTTCTCAGTGAAGCTTGGCTGGGAGGTGGAGATTAAAAATTTGATAAAGAAAATGTGTTGGTGCTGTTAAGAAAAGTATTTTGTTTAGGCTGAAGTTTTTAATAATAGTTTTAATAATAGTTTTTAATAAAAACTGAAGAGGACTGTGTGTTCTTCGTCCTGACATTCTCAGCATCCCTGTGGGCTCAGGGTTCAAGCTACTTACCAGGGGGGCGAGGAGGAGATTTTCATTATTTGTATCCAGATGCTTCATTTGAATATGCAGATTAACTAAACAGAAGGGGTCTGTAGAGTCGTAGAATCATTTAGGGTTGGGAAAGACCTCTAAGATGGAGTCCGAGCGCCCTCCTTCCCTCCGAACCCATTACACCCATACAGCCTGTGACAGACCCGTGCCCACCAACTTTCCGCTGCTGCACAGCAGTGTGTGTGTGTGGTTTGTTATCGCTGCGGCTTTGAGCCGAGGAGCGGTTCCCGGTGCCCTTACCCTCCAGCCGGCGGCGGGGCGCGGGTGGGCGCAGGGCGGCGCTGCCGCTCGCGGAGAGACCGCGGTGCTGGGCGGGACCGCCTGGGACTGGGCTCGGGCGGGACCG